TCTGAAATGATCAAACAGTGAAAAACACATCCTATTAACCACTGTGTTATTACATTATTTTTCAAAAGGGAGCTTGTTCCTTTGGGGATATTCCAAGCGGATTCAGTTGTTATTTCACATTGATCTGCACTTAAATAATTAAGGTGATACCATTTGGACATAATGTTTATGTGTTCAAAACCATGTGCTAACTTTGTCTAAGATAATGTCTTAGACTTAGCCAAGAATGAAAAGTGATTGTTTCAGCTTGTACTAGCAAGGACTTTACACATATCTTAGGTTCACACACTAATGGCTACCTTGTGGATAAAAATCTGTTTTCAGAAAGCACTTATTATCATATTTCAAAGGAGAAGTTTTACTAAAGAAATTTACACTATCCATTCTTATGGAGGGACAACACTAACTTTTTTGTTATGTCCTTTGTGTAATCTTTTGGAGATAGTATTTATTTAAGACCATGGTGTTGTTATCCATTCAGAAAAATGTATCTTTGAAAGAATAAAGTTTTAAACAATATTATCGATTCTCAGCCTTTTGGCTAAGATCAAGTGTAAACACAATCTTCACATTCATAGGTAGTTTGGCAGAAATATTTGTCTTTCTCCTAAATAACTGGTTCAGCTTTAAAAACAAATAACAATATGAAATTTCACCTTTATTAATAACAAGGGACTTATCAAGATAATTATACTTTGAAGTGAAAATAAGGGATAATTTATCTATCAAAGAGTGAACCTGTACCTGACAATCTCATTTCTCAATAAACTCAACTCAATAAAAGATGAAGCTCCATTTACTGAAGTAATTTGTATTGTAAAATTTAAAGCTCAAGTGATTTCTTCCCTTTACAAATAAATCATCCTAAGATTTAATGGATTATTCTCTATTTTGTCAACAAAGGATTTGATTTTAAACACAATTTTTATAACTATTCATGCCCAAGAATAAGTATCTTTTATCTGGGGATAACAATTCATTAAAGAAAAAAAAATCAGTATTTACTGATAATGTATTTTGAGCAATGCCACTTCTTTTAATAGCTTCCCATTGCATAAATACTGCAGCAAAAACCAATGTTAAATAAGTGTAAACTCCTTGTTAAAACATTAGAGTTCTTTATGATCTGAATTTGATCTTCTTTTTTATCCCCTCTTGGGACTTACATTGGTGCTTTTCACACTATTTTTTTAACACTTCTTTTTTTTCTTGATTAATGAAACTTCATTTTTTTCCTCATTGAGTTTATTGGTACATTTTAGGTATACAGTACAGTTACATTCATTATTGGGATCTTTTACACTGCTTTCAACCTTTTTCCTGCTTCATTCTAAGGATTTCTATAGTAGCTAATTTACATTTTGGGGCACAATTTTTCCTCAGAGTTTATTGGTACATTTTAGGTATACAGTACAGTTACATTCATTATTGGGATCTTTTACACTGCTTTCAACCTTTTTCCTGCTTCATTCTAAGGATTTCTATAGTAGCTAATTTACATTTTGGGGCACACTTTGGAGATTCACCATCTTTTTCTTATAACTACATTGAGATAGTGGGCTTTTTCTTGTTCAGATTTCAGTTGAAATTTCACTACCATCTTATTCTGGCCTTTTTGTCTTCTTGTTCGTTTCCAAATTTTTTATCAGTACATATTTGTGATACATTCATCATAGGGTGTTGATAAATATGCATAATTCATTTTAATTCTGTTTACTTCTCATTTACTTTTCTCTCTCCCTCCTCTATCTCTAGATCCTTTTCCCATCTACAAAAGTTTGCGTCCCTGTTTCCTATTAACTATCTTTAATTTTGCTTCTTAGATTATTCACACTTTGGATTTCTCACATAAAAGAAATTGTGATATTAAAGCTTTGCCTGATTTATTTCACTTAGCATTGTGATCTCAAGATCCATCCATTTTCATACAAATGTCTCAAATTATCCTGTTTTATGGCTGAGTACTAGATCTTCTTCAGCTCTAAGTTCTGAGAGGGCAAGAATTACTTCCAGGGCTGGGGATTTGGCTCAGTGTTTCTGCAACTTACCTTCAAGTGCAGGGGCCTGGGTTTAATCCCTGGTACAAAAAAAAAAAACAAACAATAAAACAAAAAAAAGATAATTACTTGTAAATCTTCCACAGTTAACCATAAGAAAAAGATTCTTATTATTAATCATATATTCTTTGAATGATGTCATTGAATTTTGCCAAAAAATCATTAGAAATACAAAATAGATTATATTTATAGTCAGACCCTTTATATTACCTGAAAGCATTCATAAAATGCCCATTTGAAATTATTTTAGACTATATCTATAGATTATATATATACATATATATAGATATAGATATAATTTCACCATATATCATAGTCTATAATTTAAAGTGGCAAAATAAAAACAGGCATCTACTTAGCTTTTTTACATGAATAACTAGATTTCATGCACCAGTGTAATCATTTCAATTTCTACAGAGAATAATAAAGCAAAAGAATATTAAAATTGAAGCAATTCAAATAATAGGGAAAATAAAAAATGAGAAAATTAAAAAATGGATAGAAAGTTTTTGTAAATAGGAAAGGGAGAAGGGGGTGAAGAGAGGGCAGGAGTAAGGGGAAAAAATGAGAACCAAGACTTGTCATGTAAAGGTACAAGATCCCAATGATGAATGTAACTGTACTGTATACCTAAAATGTACCAATAAACTCAATGAGAAAACAAACAAACAAATAATAGTCAACATTATTTTGTTTGCAAAATATATATACATGTGACACAATCTAAAATAAGGATGATTCCAAAATATGCATCCAACATTAAATTATCCAGTAGCAAGACTAAATCAGGAAGCAGTAGGTCTGAATTTGTGTAAGTTGTGTTCATATATAATTAGGGAAAGCCAGCATAAAGTCTGAAGCTGTAGATTATTTTTTCTTGATAATTTTTATCTTATTTTACTATTCATACTTTATAATTTGTATGTTCTAAACAAATGCCTACTTAAAACCAGGATATTAATGAAACTCACTTTGTTTTTATACTATTTAATTTGCTCCTAGAAGTGTTATTAGGAGTTTTAATTTTCAATGAGATTAATATTTTGAAATTATTGACTTTATTATATTTTATGTTCTTTAGTATACAAAGCTAGGATTTACTAGATAGGAAACATATGTATGTCATTTTCACCATAGTAAGACTCAGATGAAATATTTTCCCAGAAAACTTCAATTTTAAACAGTTATGTCCCAGTCAACTTTTTCTCCAGATAACTGATTACTGTATGTTCAACACTATATCCCTCACCCTGTCTCCACAAGAGTCCTACCATCTGTGTGTTCCTTTCCAGAATGTTTCCTTCAGGTTGATATCTCAATTTAGAATTTAGTTACATGATTGAGCTTCTCTGCGAACCAGACTGTGATTGTGGTCATACATTTATTTACTCAGAAGGCTGACTCTCAAATATCCATCCGTTAAGGATAGCTCTTCAGTTCTAGGTCTTGCACATTCACCCTGAAAGCAATATTCTAGAAAGATAAAATGTCTTTATGCATGCATGATAGTATAAGGCTCTTTGAAGTAATACTAATATTTTTACAACACTTATTCTCTTATATTTCTTTTAGAGACACGTCATTTTCATTTTATTTCTAAATTCTTTCCATTGCTTTGGATTCTTCCACATTACAATAAATATATATTTGATAGGAAGCAAAGTAGCCTAGGGAATATTAATGTGAGCAATTCATCAACCTTATTCTTTCTTTGAGAAGTCAAAAGTTTGTTAAATAAACTATGGCTTGAATATTTCAGAAAGCTCAAATCATTTTAGGGAAAGAAGTGAATAGAGGCAGATAAATGAAAACAGTATATTTTAATGTCATATGAAATGTCTTATATAATGTCTTATATCAAAAGTTCAGTTTGCTTGTTAAGCTAGATTGCTTTTTATTTATTTTCAATCACTAAGTCTACAATATACAAGCAGATTGTTTATTTAGCATTTTGGCAGAATAATAAGCAGAAAAATAAGCTTAGAAAACAGAGAAAAAAATGAAGATTTCTTAAAAAATCAGATAATGTTTTCAAACATGGGAGAGGAATGAAACTACTAGATAAGCGCATAAAATCATCATAAAGCAATGTTTCCTAGTGTTTTATAAGTGTTACTTGAAAATTAACATATTGTAAATGACAAAAAACAAATATAGCTGAGTAAAAAAAAACTGATGGTAGAAATTAGAGAAATTTACTTAACATAGAAAGTATATCTGTGGTGAGAATATTATAATACAGAAGGGTTATGATTACTCAAAAACATTTTGAAACGTAAGGAAAGTCGTTGGTGTTGTACCTACAATTCACATTTCTCCAGGGCCAGCACTGATCCAGATAATCAAAAACTAACCCTACTTATAAATTCTCTCAGAGAATAGCAAATGGTAGTTTTGATATAATGTTATGTGGTTAACTGGATCACAAATTCAGTCACTGTGTAGGTGAACTGGGAAAAAAAAAAATCTAATGGCCATTCCATAGGTTTACTCTGCTCAGAATGACCTGGAAAAACTATTTTCGAACTGGAAAAAAGAAAGAGAGGTGGAATTTCTGCAGGAGAATTATGATTCTCTGGGTCAGGAGCTGTGGGAGCCACTGTAAATCCGAAAAAGCCTTTTGTCATGGATAAAAAGCCAACAGAGGACTGGGGCCAAGCTTTGGATACACAAGAGCTTCTGCTCCCAGCATTGGTAACAGAATGGGTTGTTCACAATGGCCCTAGTGAACACCAGGATCTGGTCTACAGGACTGTCACTGCTAAAAGCTGCCAATTTGGCACGGTTATGCTCTGATATCAGAAGGAGAAAGCCCTTCCAACCTTTCCTGGCCTTGCAAGACCCACTACCAGCCAGCTTTGTCTTTCTTGCTTTGGTCTGGCGGTTGCAATGGAACACAGGTCTCCAAAGTGATTCCTGTCTCTATGGAAACTGGCAAGCAGCAGGAGTCTGATGGCCACACTCCACAGTAGCTGGGCAGAAGGGTGGCACAGAAGGTGGATACCAGGTGTTGTACTCTGAAAGGCAGGCTGAATCCAGAAAAGAGGAAGGAGAATCAAAGACAAATAAAATTATATGTGGTAGCCGAGGATAGTTTTTTAAGTAGCGTTCGAAACTAGAAGGTACTGACAGGGGAAACATTTTCTAACAAAATCTATGTATAGGAAAGAACAGGGACATTTCAAAAGTAGAAACATTTTGTTTTTAGTTATCAGTCTTAATTTTTCTTCCAATTTCCTTCCTCAAGTGATGGCCATTCTCTGGAGAATTGTAAAACTAAATTAATGACAGTTGTACTTTTCAATCCAATAGGCTTTAGTATGCAAGATGTGTTTCAGTCTATACAACTACTGCACCACAACTTTCACATTAGAAGGTTATTTGTTTAGAAAGCCTTCAGTAATTTAGTGGAAGTAATAGCATGTTGTGTGTGCATTTAGATATATTTTTAGACTGTAATTTAAGCAACAAAAATGATCTTGAACTTTCAAAGATGCAAGTTCTTTGTAAAAATATCCCAAGCTGACAGAACAGAGGAAAGAGAGAGAAAAAAAAAAGATGGAGAGAGGAGAAAATGCAGAAATAGAATGAACAGCTGAGAATACTTGAGAAAACCCTAAAATATAGCCAACTAGCTTTATACTTAAAAAAATGTGTTACTGATTTCACTCACTCCTTGTTGTGTTTTTATTTAAGAAAGATTCACATATTTTGTATCTATCTATCCATTTGGTATCTTTGTTTTTCACAAAAAAAACATGAGAACCTTAATATGACAGCAATTTTTTTAAATGAACTTCTTGAGAGAACAAAACAATATTTAAAAACAAACCAGAATATTAGCAATGCTATTTGATCCAAAGTGCAGTACTCCTGTTAGTTTAGAAAATAAAAAGATTAGCATTCAGGAAGTATAAATATATCCCCAGATGAAGGGTTAAATATGTGACACTGTTTATGTCATGAGACGTTTTTTATATGTATTTAATGAAAAACAGTATCTTCAATTTTTTTCCACAAATTGTTTTTATTTGTTCTCCTCCATTGCTTTTAAATATGGTTCTTGCATTGCAAAATTTTGCTCATTTTCAGAAAGAAAAGTATAATGAGAGGTCCACAACCCTGTTAAATAGCCCACAAAATGTGATTACTTATCCTGAAAAATTACTATGTCTGACTTGCTATCAGCTGTGCAAAGCCACAGCCCCTGTCCGTCTGTCTAGATACAGCTCAGGTGATTATTGCTCTTAGAGAAGATGCACTCGTGTGCAGTGTGCACTGGGCCATTCTGTGGCCCTCAATTCGCCTTAAGCTCAGGCAAGAGAGATGGAGAAAACCATTGGCTTCACTCGTCATCCATTCAAAAGATAACAAAGCTTGAGTGATGCTGCTTGTGGAAGCAAAGCCTGGCTTTGGGACACTGTTAAGACACGCAATTTTACTGATTTGCTGTCTTCCAACAATACTATTGGTTTCAAAGATCTCTCCTCACCTCTTTGCTTATTCCTGCTTTATTCTAATTGTAAATCACAGCCTCTTGCCAACATTAGGGTGGCCTTAGCTTTAGAATTGGTTCATTTAGGTCGTATGAGGCTATATGCTGGATTCTTGACAGACAGTAGAAGTATGCATGAAACTAGTGAGGAAGGGACAATTCTTAACTAATGGAAATTAACAGACTACAAGACTCAGTTCACAAGAACTTAGTATTTCCTAATGTAGACAAGGGATGTTTTTAACTATTCTCTGCTTAATTATTTGACAGATAAAACATTGAAGAAATAATGGCAGCTGCTCAGTGTACTATTTAAAGACAACCAGGAGAGTTTATCTTTTCAGGATACTGAATTATTGCTCTTCATTAAAGAACTGGTGGTTCTTAATGGTTCTAACAAATTATTTCTGTATAGCAAATGCAAGTTTTTAGCTATTTCTGCTTTTGAGAGAAATAAACTTAGCCTTAAGAAAAACAGCTCAAATCAGTGTCTACAGAGGAGAGGAAAAATAGGAGTTACTTTGAGGAATTTTTATTGGAAGAATAGTGTTTCAGGGAAAGGAAAAATGTTAGAAATGCATATAGAAGACCTAACAGAATACATCAGTGATGACTTTCAGTGGTGTGCTGTAAATATTTAACAACTTACTCTATGAGAAAAATTATTGACCTGTGGTATTTGCCAATTTCCATGGTGAAAATACTTCCTCCGTGGTCAATTTCAAGCTACCAATGTATGTTACTGATCACTAAGTGGAGAGAGTTGGATGAAGTGGACTCTCAGGAGGTAGAATGAGCCAGCTCTAGCAGATCATGATCTTGAATTTCAAATTTAAAATCGCTCTTTAAATATGCATGCAAATATTTAAGTGCATCTTGAAATGCGTGACTACAAACTTTTTCCCTTTTATCACAGTGATGAAATATGAAATGAAAATTAAATGCAGTTCATATTTATAGTCACTCTGTGGTTAAGCAGGTAAGGTCTGAAAAAAGTATAAAAGCTCAAAATTTGACTACTTTCTAACTATATGACTGTGGCCTTACAATTTAAAATCTATGTGTATCAACTACCTAGTCTTCAAGGTAGGGCTAGTTTTCTATGACAAGTTTTCATTGCCAGTTTAATTATTGATACAAGAAATATATCTAGAATGCTGCCTGGCTGCTTGGCATATTGTGAATAGTGGAATAATGTTAGCTGCATTTTCTGTATGTTTTCAGCTGGCTTATGATGGCTGAGAGATGAATTAAAACAGGAAAGGGACTATTTAAATGAATGTTTCTATAAGAGGTCAAATACCTTCAGATTTATAAAAGTTCATTTACTGGTACACACATAGATAGGGCTTTTACTCATTATTCAAGAAATGTTACTGTATGCTTTTCTTCTCTCTGATACAAAAATTTGATCAGATTTGTAGTCCTGTTGATTTTAGAGCTAAAATGGTGTTATAGATATCTGTTCTCAATCACTATGTGTTCTGCCTTCTTAAATATATTCCTTACATGGTTCAATAGAGTTTTAAAAATATTTCATGGCATTATATTAGTATACCTTTATGGCCTTCATGATTTAATCTTTTCTTCCATGAAAAACTTAGTGTCTATTTCATCTCTACAATTTGATCTCTCTCTCTCTCTCTCTCTCTCTCTCTCTCTCTCTCTCTCTCAGTCCGCGCTCTCTCTCTCTCTCTCTCTCTCTCTCTCTCTCTCTCTCACACACACACACACACACACGCACACACACTCTCACACATAGCAAGTCTGAGTTACTTTGGTTACTCTGCTGTCACAAATTTCTCTACAAATGCCAGCCAGCCACTGCTGTAATAAAATTTATTTGCATTGGTCAGTGAATATATAGAGAAATCTCCAATCTATAGTACATTAAGCAATGTAGCCGATTCAAGCATCAAAAGCTTGCTGTCATATTCTTAATTGACTTAGAATCAACTAAAAGAGCCAGATATTGATACAAGTAAGATGAGAAATAAACATAAGGAGGGCGGGAGGAAAATGATTAATATAGGTCATCAGGAAATGTAGCCAGCTTTAAAATCCCAGAGTGAAAGTTGTACAAATTTCATCATGTTCTTTTTTGGTAAGAAAGATTCTTCTTACATGTAGAATTCTAGTGATCTGAGCCACAGCCTGGATTATTTTATTATAAATGTCATTACAAGCAATGTGTCTTAGAAATCTTTGCAGATTAAAATAAAGAGATCAACACTGTATCACACCAAACCAGCTCCTGCTTTGACATCTCAATCTCTCTTCAAGTTTCTGATTATTTTGCCGCTCCTTAACAATTATTTATCTCTTCTTCTATCCATCCTTTAAATTTTCATACAAGACAAAGTTTATAGTAAGTTCCAAAAAATATCTCTAACAAATCCACTGAAAATGAATTCTTTATTGTATGATAAATTAGATTCTGTAGATAGAAATATTAACCATTTTCTTGGGAAGACTCTTGAGATTGAATAACAACTAGACCTAAAGCCAGGGATAAAGATAAAAGTTGCAGGAAACTTGCTTTTCTCTCCAGGTTATAACTTGAAGTAAAAGAAAATTCAGACCTCTGAGAAGAACTTTGCCTACAGTATACACTTTTTTTTTATAGATTTTGGAAGGCACATATCCTAAGGGTATTTAGGATTAGTAGACTCTCCATATGAATTTTCTATTGGGAAATGCTACATTACTTGGCTGCAGGGATTTTAGGCTGCAAGTCCCAGGGAACTGAAATCATACTACTTTAAAGTCAAAATGCACAGGGGAAGAGGATGGAGAACATGCGATCCTAATCTTTTACTTGGAAAGACAATGTGTGGGTTTGCTGGTATATATAAGGACCTGACATAGGGAAACCTCTACCAAACATTTTTTTTTTTCCCCCTTCAATGGGTCAGTAGGAAGGACTGAAATCATTATCGAATTTAAGTTCTCTATAGCATTGGGGATTTAAGGGCAGTTAATATTGACATCTTCACTCTTACTTGATTTTTTTCAAATTATATTTAATTGTTAAAATGATCATTTTATTGTTCTCTAATTCATATTCAAACAAACAGTAATATAGCTATTATGACCAGAAGCCTTTGTTGGAAAGATAAGAATAAAAATGTTGAATTTTCAGAACCAAGTCCTAAGGGTTCACTGACTTTCTTTTACCATGGGAAAAGTCACTTAACCTCCCAGTGTCAGTTTGCCCATCTATGAAATGAGAAGGATAATATTTTCTTATGGGGATGTTTTGGCAATTATTTTTTTTGCAAATGTAGTGAATGAAATTGTTGCAGGCATCATTGGTCTTCTTCCACTTCTTTAAAGAAGCATACACTATTATTTATGCACCAGTTGGTAGTCAAAATGTTATCTGGGCTGAACTGTGCATACTTATAAGTGGTTTTATTGTATTTTTTACTTGAAGAATCTTCCCCCAGACTGCTCCATTTGTGCATTACATCTGTACCGCAGAACCTGGGAAAACTGTCTTAAAACCATTCTGAGTTTCATTATTTATGAGCGGCTAATCTGTGGTAATTATTCCTTTTTGTCTCAGCTCCTATTTTATCTGAGGTGTTTTTCTTGCCTTACCAATCTTTCTTCACAAGATTGATAGTTCTCTATGTTTCCCTGCTAGTGGTCATCTCCAAGCTGAAGGCAAAATACATCCCACCCTGGCTCAGTTAACTTTCCAGTGAATTACAAAAGAATTTGTTCCACCAACATCTAATTTAATTTTAAAACTCCACCCTAAAATTTACAGAGAACTATTCTGGGGAGTTACCACAGTAATTCTAAAAGGTTGTCACTGAAAAGACAAACTTCCTGGTATCAGATTTTTACACTCCATAGGCTTAATTACATATTGTGGTCATGAACCTCTGTGCTTGTGTCATTTAAGTCTGGAAAGAAAGTTTTCCCTTCAGGTTCTTCTGTCTCTTGTGCTGCCAATCAACAGCTTTTGGTGAATAAAATTCTTTATGCCAGTAGCTCCAGTACAATCTCAAGTGGTGCTTGTAGTAATGATAGAATCATTACAAGACTAAAGAAGAAAAGGGAAATATATTTCCTGGGTGTGATTAAGTCATCATAATGTTTCTTGCATATGTAAATTATCTTTCACTTAATGAACTACCCCACTCACATAATAGTGTTTTAACCTGGCTCTAGAAGGTCATTTTTACCCATGTTGCTCATTGTCTCCAAGCCTGCCAGTTTATTGCCAGATCATCTTGTTAATGTAAGATATATATTATTTTTCAGTGAGCATAAATTTTGTTTTAACTATTAGAAGTGCACTTATTAAGTAAATTTAGTATAAGATTTACTTACAAATTAGTGAAATTCTTAAGAAGATGGAAAACTATTTCCATTTTTTCATTTTCTCGTATTTTTTCTTTTCCCTTATTTCCTTGCCTTGGGAGGAGGGGGGTGAAGGGAGGGCAGGGACATGGGGAAAAAAATGAGAACCAAGACCTGTCATGTGAAGGTGCAGGATCCCAGTAATGAATGTAACTGTATTGTAGAGCTAGATTGTACCAATAAACTCAATTTAAAAAAAGAAAATGGAAAACTTATTTTATATAATAATACCAAGTCAAGGTCCATTTTAAAAGTAGGCATTACCTTGATTATAAAAGAATATATATTCACAGGAGAAAAGCAGGCAAGAGAAAAATGAAAAATATTACTTTTATCTCCTGGATTAGAGGAATCACTATAATTTTCTTGTCCTCTTTTTTTTTTTTTTTTTTTAGCACACTCAGGCTGACCACCAACTCCTACTTCAACATTTTGAGTTACTACAATTACAAGTGCATCTCACCATGCCTCGTTTCCATAATATTTTGATAAATATTTTACAGGACAAACACTTTTTAAAAGAATAATCATATGCTACATATATCTACATTTTATAAGAAGCACTTAACAGAAACTGAAACTAAAATTATAGCACTCATATTTTATAGGCTTTATTAAAAATATAAGAAATACAAGAAAATTATTTTTTTATGTTTTCTATCTTCCTTTAGAAACTTTGATCATCCAAAATATTTCATGCTTTATCTTCAGCAATGACACAATCTAGCAGTAACTAATTAATACAAGGCCAAGGGAAATTAATGATTATCATGTTACTCTTTGAATGCAAATCTTCATGTGTGCCAATGAGGAAATGAAAGTTTTCTGGAAATTGTAAAAAAATAAAAAGGAGTCTTGATACTATCAGTGGTGGTGTCCTATGATTAAATATTTTCAATTATTTTTCTCTTTTGAAATACATAGTTTTGTTGGTTAAACTTCGTTTTGAATGAGAAGTGAAGTTCACTGTAGATCTTGAGAAGTTAATCATTTTAAAGCATTTATTTAATCAACATTCTCTTTAATCTCCTTTTAGGCAGCCAAGGGCAGTTTCCACTAACACAGAATGTAACGGTTGTAGAAGGCGGAACTGCAATTTTGACCTGCAGGGTTGATCAAAATGATAACACCTCCCTCCAGTGGTCAAATCCAGCTCAACAGACTCTGTATTTTGATGACAAGAAAGGTGAATACATTTTCTTTTAAATGTTTTAATCGTATTCTAAAATATCCTAATTATAATGAATTTATTTTTCTAAGTTGATTCATATTATTCCTTTTGATTACCAAACTGCTTCTGCTTGTATTTAAATACTTTAAGTATTAAAATACTTTGTTTTGCAAGTCATAAACACTAAAGATAACCTATGTCAACTTTTTAATAAAATAAGCGGTTCTAATTTTGTTTTTAAAATACTTTTATGCCTTCACTTAACAATCGTTTTTGAGATATTAGATACATCTATTCCTCTCACTATTTTGAAAATAGGTTTAATATTTTTCTCCCTCATGATTCTAGAATGTCATTTTCACGACACTTAATTTTACATATTTGGAATATGGTATATATTTTGGGAATGTTTAATGATTTTATTCTCATCAATTGGATCTGAAAATAAAAATTGTAGAAGGGATTTCTAGAGTGAAGTTATGTATGTCCATGTTCCTCAATAAACTGAAATCATGTATGAAAATGTATTAACGTAAAATTGTCATACTTCATTAATTAGTTTGTGCTTCAAATTAAATACAAAAAGATTAAATAGACTTGAGCTGAATCCTTTTAGAAGAGTAAGGAAATTCACTATGTGTATTTGAAATGAACAATTAGCAATGTACTTTAAATTTCTAAATCCTCCTCCATTGCTGTACTGAAAAAGTAAAACCAATGCACTATAATGCAACTATGGAGGTTTTTTAAAGTAAATTTAAATTATACCAGCTATAAGTAGTTTCTTATATGTTATTTAGTATTTTCATAATATTTATGTTTCTTATAAATTTCTGTAGATAACAGTAAAATAATTCAAAATAAATTTAAAGTATTAAAATGTGTCCAAATAAAGACTAAGAACTGTTACTACTCACCAAAATATGAATTCTCTATATTTTATGTAGTGGTATATCTTTCCCTTTTTATTGTTGTCTAGAAATAAAATGAATCCTATAGTTTATTTTAAATATTAAATATATAATGAAGGATTATCTACCTAAATCATTGATAGAGACAAATAAATTGATTAATTTTTATTTTAAGACACTGCTGAGTTGGGTACGGAAACCAGCAGGTTTAAAATCTGCAGGGCAGGCTGGCCAGCTGGAGAGTCAGGGAAGAGTTTATGTTACAGCTCCAGACACAAGCACTATGCAGGTGGAAATACCTCTTTCTCGGGGCCCTTGCTCTCTCTCTAAGGCCTTCAGGTGATGGAATGAGGCCCACCAAATTAGAGTTGTTTATTCAGACTATTAACTTTAATATTAATCTCTTCTAAAAACAATTTCACAAGATCTGAACTGACTTTTCACCAAACATCTCAGTAGAGCAGTGCACTCTGGCACATGAGAGATACAAGACACTCACTGAACACATGAAATCATGGCCAAAACCAAGCCCTGTAAACAGTGTTTCCTTTTGCTGATAATTACACTTTCTGATATATTTTTTTATCTGCAGTCAACTCCAGGTAGCTGTGTTGTTCTACAGTACATATTTATACTAGTTAATTTATGAATTTGGTTATATATGCAAATTTAGTATAATACACAAAACATTAATTTTTCAAAATTGCTTTTTCTACCATTGCATTAAATGAAACAATTTACTTGGTAGCATTTTTGGAAAGAATTAATTATGTCATTAAAATGTTCCAAGCAACCATTATGAATTTTTTATGAATTAGAATTTTTTGTTGTTGTTCACCTATCCTACAAATACATAAAAAACATCTCCACTTCTTTAGTGTGTTGTTCTGGACATTGAAACCAGGGCCTCTTCTCTGAGCTACATCATTAACTCCTTATTTTTATTATTTTTTATTTTAAAACAAGAGCACCTTATGTTGCTGAATTGCTCAGGTTGGGCTCAAACTTGCCTCAGCCTCCCAGAACCCTGAGATTACAGGCATGTGCCAGCACACAGGTACATTCTCCACTGTTAAACAATTCGTGTTTTACCTTTTTAGGTGATCTTTGACAGTCATGTTTACAGTGACATATACAATGGTGAGGTCAAGTCCTGAGGCACAAACACAAAATCTATACTAAATGCCTTTGCTTCCTTTTTTTAGTGATTCTATAAGATATCCTGTACAAAACACCTAAAACTACAATTGATTTTGAGTATTTCAGAATAATGAATCTCTCCTGTAGAAAACAGAACTACTTCTAGTACAATCTTTGCAAAGACTTGGAAATAAGGCAAAACCCTTATTTCTGAGGAATAGCTATGGGGAAAAAACTCATGCTATATTTATGATAGCAAGCAATGTAATTTTGTGTCTTCATGCTGCCATAAAATACCCAATATATCTGATAACATTAACTCTTGAAGTATTCGCTTAATTCTGTTTGTCAAAAGTAGCTTAGAGGTATGTTCCCCCAAAGCCTGTTAAGTGTGTGGTTTACAGCAGGTTCTTGGCTTTGGTATTGGTCATTTTCTTACTTTATTGTGGTACTCATCATCAGTTTTAGTAAAAGAATGACAAGAACTGAGTAAAGAAGCCCTTCCATGAAAGGCAAACTCACAAATCTATTTCCCCGCACACCTAAGTGACACCTCAGTGTAACAGATCTCTGGTCAGTATGTTCATCAGATGCAAGAGCATGAGAAGTGAAAGCAGTTTTAAAGACTCCAGATCACAATTTTTTCCCATTTCATCTTTTGTCTAAGTGTATCTGTTTGGCCCACTTCAAACCTTTTGAGTAAATAAGCAAACCAACTAACGCCAGAGCCTAATTGCACAAGCTAAGCCTGAGTTAGAGAAATAGAGATAACCAAGTCTTTCATGCTGTTGACAACTGCATAAGAGCAAGAGAGAAAAAGAACAAGTTTTCTGTTCCTAATTATGCAAGCCCTTACAGGTGGCTGCTACAGTTAAAGGCTCTATCTTTAGCTCAACACATATTTCTGTCTGAGATTTTGTTGCTAGTGACTTTTAGCCCTAGTTACACAATGCAGTTAACCAAGGAGTTTTCCAGTTAGTCCAGGCATACGCAGCATTGGAATGTTTTAATTGTATCTCACATGATTTTGAAATGCAGCTGAGTTTTACACATTTAAAGTTATGTAAGTCAGTACTGACAACACTTCTCTGCACCTGTGTCTGAATTTCTGAACTGACTTAGCTTAATGAGAAGGGGAAAGGAAGGAAGCGAGCTAGTAAGGAAGGCATTAAGGAAGGGAGCGCAAGATGCTCCGCAGGACAGAACAGGCACAGCTCATTGCCACTGTTCCTGCCTCCATAAACTGGAAGAGACATTCTGAGTAGCATAGTTTTACAAAGGTCCTATTGTGAGGCTAAGCCAAGAACTCAGGATGTTGGCCCACTGGTAATATGTGAGTTGGGAAAAACCTTGCTTATTTGGAATTATTAGCTGAAAAAAATATTATACTGAGCAGTTGATGTTTAGATAGAGGAGAATTAAACTGAAAACCTTTAAGAATCAGAGAGGTTATATGTAAATATCTAGGAATATTTTTACAGGGAATGCTAGGTGTCACTTGGGGTATTGGCTAAAATGAAACTTATGTTGCTATATTTATTACTCAGTTAAAATTAAGAAGAACACATGAAATTCAGACTTCTGCTACTTTTAGCAATTTAATGTGATCAGCACCTTTTCCCATTGATATATGGAAAATTGATATTAAGGTCTCAAAGAAATTTGTCTAGAAACATTCCACTAATGACTAATGGAAAAGGGCTTTGCATCCAGGTACAGGCTTTACTTAGGTTTTCCCAGGAATATCTGAGAATGAAAGCCTCTGAGGGCCAGGCTACTTTAAGTATAACTGCAGCAACCTATGTGATTGATCTTTGACAGCTGCCTCTTTGTTAAGGAACACCAGTTTCTTTCCAGTTGTTGAAGATATACATAGAGCAAGACTGAAGATTACAGCATAGCAGCTCTGCTTAAGAGAACAGTCCATGAAGATAGAAATATTCTAGACTGGGGCTTAACACTCAGTAGCCATGGTAGATATTTAAATTTAAGCAAAGTAAAATTCAATGAAAATTTGAATGGAAGTCCTTTCCGCTTTATGTATGGAGAAACTGAGATATACATGCTTTACTCTCTTGAATCATATCTGAAAGAAAAATGATGAGACCTGAGGCTTCCTTTTACAAGTCTTTATCACATGCTTTGCTATTTAAAAAAGGAAATAATTTGATTGCCTTTATTATTATTATTATTATTATTATTATTATTATTATTATTATTTTCTTCTGGGACTGCAACTACTTTTAGGGTAGCATTTCAAAATTATCTTTCTGTGATTCAGCTCAACACATCTCATCTCAAATTTCAATCCTAGCACACCACTATAATTTCAGACATGTTACAAAATTCATAATATATATAGTAAAGGAAGAGAAAGAGGAGAGAGAGAGGGAGAGGGAGGGAGGGAGAGGGAGAGCATGAATCAGGTTCACATTAATAAACAATGATTCAAGAAGAATGGACAGGCTATTTACAAAGATAAAGGTATAATTAGGGGTACTACCTATGCTGATACTGCTTCCATGAATTAACATCCAACCCTTGTGATGGTGAGATGCAGTAGTGGATAGGAGTTGTGGCTATCTGGGAAGGGAGTAATATGCAGAAATATGAAAATTGGCTTTTCCCCTTCTCAGAGTCTGTTTTCTTGTCCATAACTTGCATAGGTTGACCACAAATGGAAGCTGTAGGTCAAGGGATCCTGAGTGTGTCAGTCTCCCCAAGCAAAAAACACAGAACGGAAATGATAAACAGAAAATAAAGCATACAACATATGGCACATAAACAAGTATTTCTCCCCGTCCCAGTTTTGGTTAGGATAAATTCCATTGAAAACCCTGTATCATTCTGTCTTCACAAGTATCTTCAATTGCAAAATTTCTTAACAGGATAAATAAGTTTCAATAATGTATTATTTGTTCTCACACAAATTATTTTGTTTCAATGCTATATTCCTCAAGTGCA